AAAAAAAAAAAAAAACAAACAAACAGGTACAACAAAATAAATGCAAAAAAGAAGGTTAGTGAAAGCAGGATAAGTAATGCAAAAGAAGAGGGTAGAATCCCAAATATCACACATCCAAATACGCATACGCATGAAATAATCATAGTGGTTGCAAGACTTTTTTTTTCTTTCAATATCCACCTCTATACTGGTTAAAAGACTTCAAGTCCAGAGTACGTGAAAGTTGCGAGCAAGAGGATGAGGCAAGAAATTCAGGTGGCATTCTTGATCTGGAACGTTCCACAGTGTACAACCCAGAATCTCCACTTGAGGGGACTGAGGGAAGTGGTCTGGGCTCACAAGCCGCCCAGAAGCAGGGTGAACAGATGTCCTTTTGAAGCACAGGGCATTTCTCACAACTGACCAAACCCAGTCCCCGGGGGAAATCTCAAGCACTCAGAACCAGGATCGTGCAGGCTTCATAGACAAAAATGCAGTGAGGTTTGAGAACAGCAAGGAATGACGACGGGGACCACTTTTAATTCGGGAGCTGCAAAAACAAAACGTGCCAGCGAGGTAGCACCACCCCCTTTCTCACTGTGCTCGGCCTCATTCTCTCTCTCTTCTCACCCCTTCCCCCTCCCAGAGCCCCTGGTCATCTGGCAGACCACCATCGGGGACTTACACAGCTCAAGTGCCCCCCACCCAGCCCCTCAGTCTGAAGCCCCCATCATCGCCTCAGGCTCCGCCCAGATCAGCAGCCATCGGGGGGGCCCTCCTCACCCCACACTCGCTCGGCTGACCTGCCCCACGGTACCCACCACCATTTCCCTGCTGGCCTTCCCCCACCTCCCAGGCCCCTTTCATTTCATTCACCCCAACTTCCAAGTTTCTCTCCCAGCTCACGGTGCTCCTCTGTGCACCAATCTCCGTCTCCAGGTCTGCTTGACATCCCTAGCATCTTTGAAAACATCCGGAACCAGCCCCCATTCCCACCCCAACCATCCTCTCCGGAATAGTTTTTCCGTTGCGGTTGAAGGAAACTCAGGGTGAAGACCTGGCCAAGCCCTAGGGAGTTCCCTCACTCCCTCTCTTCCTTACCTCTGAGGAAACATCCAGAATCCACCCGAGACGCTGCCTGCCCTCATTCATCACCCTCCAGCTTCCGCCCTTGTTCTGATTCTTTTTTCCCCATAGTGGTGCAATGAACCTGAAAAGCATAAATCTGACATCATAGAGAAGCCACACATCCCCCCAAAATACTGACACTAGTTTTGAGGGGGAGGGGTGCTTGGAAGCTTGTACAGAAAAATAGACCAGCATCATTGGGAAAGTTCTGATAAAAAGGCACGTGTCAGGGTACCCATCCTTGAAGGTATTAAACATAATACATAGAAACCGAAACAGAGCTGAGTCCGCAAATAGAATAGACTCTAGTCCTAAAGATCACTGGAAGGCAGGAGCTGTCAGAATACTTGGTAACCATCTGGAGAAGAGCAAACCTTCGTGGGATCTCGAATCAGCCCGAGGGCAAACTCCCCACGGATCAGATATCGTGGCCAAGCAGAGGCTGTGAAGTGAAACCAGAGCCCGAAAGGGAGATTGTGTCATCTAGCAGCTGAACTACGAGAACAGTCCAGAAGCTGGGAACCCCACCTCTGCTTTGCTCAGGGAGCCAGCAGGCAAAGCCAGAAGAGCAAGGGCAGATGGGAGGCCCACATAGGGTTCATCTATAAACTCACAGATCAAGGGCCCCTGCCGGTTGCAGAGAGAGAAAGAGAGAGAGCCAACCACGGGAAAGGGGGCAGGGGGATGGGATGCGTGCTCCCAGGAAGGGAATCCAGTGGGTCTAGCCCAAGGGAAGAATGGATCGAAGTGACTGAGTTCATGTCCAGTGTAGATCCTTACATGAAAGGGTCTGTGAGCTGGATTGCTCTGCAAAGTGAGGGGATGGCGATACCCCTGTAGGCTGGTATCTGTGAGACACCAGCAAGACTTGTGTAAAGCACTACACAGAAGCAAGACCCCGCAGGAGCGGCTCAGGCACACTGCGAGTTTTCTATTCTTTCTGATGTCTGGATCGTGAGCATATATTACTCGCTCAAGAAACTTGATACATTTGTATGTAAACGAGAAGGTGGAATCCACTTCTGCGGAGACAAACCATGTGCAAAGACAGGAAGGGCTCGCCTAAGTGGGAAAAGGAATAGGCAATACCATGACCATTAAGCCACAGTAAGATGCGGTTTCCGCACCAGCAGGCACTGGCAAAGGCACCAAGGAGCAGGGGCAGAGACCCTTGTTGAATCTGGTAAGATGGTCGTGGGCAGACCCCCCAGTGCCCAGGTCCCCTCCCAGTCGGAACCCCAGAGACCTGCCCCCGATACAGGCAGGGGAAATGGAATTTACAGAGAGCAGTGGGGCACACGGGAGCGATTTCGGCGTTGCGTTTTTGGGAAATTAAGGTGCAGAAGACGGAAGTCAGGCGGAGGGCTTTTACTTTCCAGCGGCCGGGCTGTGGATGGCTCAGGACGGAGGAGAGAGGAGGGTTTACGCCATGCCCAGTGGGCGGAAGGCAAGGTCTTCTGGCCCTGTGGGAAGGGAAGAAGGACCCAGGTGAGCCCCCGCCGGGTAGGAAAGAGAAAAGTGGAGGGCAAGGCAGTCGGGACAGGGCAGTATGTGGGGCATGGGGCCCGGGGCTAACCGCGGCCCGGTTCTGGCCTCTAGGAAGCCGCTGAGGAATGGCCTGGTGAGAGACAAGCGCTTCTGAACTCCTCGACCGCCTTCGCATCCCTTAGGACCCAGCCCCGCCCGACCACGCGCCCCCCTCCAGGGACCGACTACGCCCCTCCCTCGGGACTCTGGCTCCGTCCAGCTCCGCCCCACCTGGGCCCTGGCCACTGCCCGTCACCTCCCCCTGGACCCCTGCCCGGCACCCCCGAGACCCCGCCCCCGGGGTCTACCTTCGTCGGGCTTCAGAACCGCGGCCACGTCCCCCGGGACCCTGACCCCGCCCAGCCCCAGACCTCTGTCCTGGCCCCTCC